CTAAGGGCAGCTGAGGCTTAAGTCAAGTAAACATGGCAGATGCCCAGGAGTAAATGTTATTCAGAGTCAATTAACTCACAAGTTACAAAAGCGCGTAGCATTAACTGTCTTCTGTGTCTATACAAAAAGGACATTGCTCTAAAGCAAACTATGCAAAGGACATAAGGAAAAGAGAAAAGCAATATTCCACTTACATATACAAAATCCAGAGCCCTCCGATTTGACCTACAGGGTACAGGGTCTGATTTGGGAATGAAAGTGATTAACATATAGGGAAAGAAGAGCACAGGGGAGAGGTTAAAGACAAACACCAAGGTTTGGGGGAGTCCCTGATGGAATTAGATGTGCCTCGTGAGCACTGTGATGGGTGTAAAGGTAAAGGCCCTCCCGTTGTTCATCGATTTGCTCGAGCGGGCCCAGTAACGTCTCCATTGGAGACTTTTGTTGTTACTGTGTTTGGCATATCGAATACATCACGGGTGGCTTGCCAGGCTCTGCCGTGCGGGCGAGATACTCTCGGTAGCTTGCCGGGCTCTCCGAGAGGGGCGGAGGAATCGAACTCGGGTCGGCCATGTTGGCTGCGTGCAAGGCAAACGCCCTACCGCTGTGCTATCAACTTAAGCTCCTCTAGAGCAAGGAGAAACCAGTGTAGCTTCTCAAAGTGCACAGAACTGTAGTCCAGAACTTCAAGGAGCCCATGAGCCCTCCGAAATAGTGTGTAGATTGTTCTGTTGCTGGGATGGGGTGGAGCAGAATTGATGTCTGTGTTTTTTTCATGGGAACATTGTGGGGGTTTTTTTAGGGGAGCTGGAGTCGGAGATTTCGGCGGTGTTTTAAAACGTTTCTTTCCCGGAGAGGGCAGAGGCCCCGGCACCAACTGCAGTGGGGAGGATGGAATTGCAAGCTCAGCCTCATACAGGAAATCGGGGTCTCTCACCTCTGAAAGTTCGACAGACCAAACCTCCAGTCCCATACCTCCGCGTATGCTTTTGTGATTGCCACAGGTTTGTGAGAGGAGTTCCAGAGAGGGCCTCGTTTGGAACTCTGGGACGAACTGCGTAGCTTCCCAAATTCTAAATTCCAAGAAGGTGTTATTTGCGTAATTAGGAGCCAGCAAAATGAACTTTTCACTTCTGAGATTGGAGACTGTGTCTTTGTTTGGTCTTGTTTTTAATTTTGGTTTGGGCGCCACACCAGGTGGTGCTCAGAGGTGACTCTTGACTCTCTGCTCAGGGATCACTCCTGGTGGGGCTCAGGGGAATGTTTGGGGCACCGGGGATTGAATCTGGGTTCCCCATGTACAAGGCGAGCACCCTACCCCCTGTACTATCCCTTTGGCCCCCAGTACCTGTGTCTTTGTTCATTAAGTACTTTAGGTTTACTCTGCCACACGTTAGCGATTGCATAGTAAGAGGTTCTACCCGTGTGGGTTTTGCACGTTGATGGCTGTATACATCGTTGGGTCACTGTTCACATCTTGCATACATCTCGACTCTGTACACGTCTTGCATCCAGCAAAGAACATCACATGGAGGAGGACTCAGATATTGGGTGAATAAAGACCCCTGTTAGATCATTAACTCATTGGCACCAGCGCGTACTACTGGTGACTCACACTTGAATGTTGTTTATCAGCACAAATTGCAGTGCCAGCATCAAAATGTCAATTTTATTCTTTTTTTTTCCTTTTTGGGTCACACCCGGCAGCGCTCAGGGGTTACTCCTGGTGGTGCTTGGGGGGGACCATATGGGATGCCAGGGATCAAACCCGGGTCGGCTCCTGCCCACAAAATGTTAATTTTAGAAGATTTTTTGTTTTAGTGCATTCACCATATTCACCATCGGTACTGAGTTCCTATTATGTTCCAGGCATTAAGTTTGGAGATAAAGTGGTAAGCCAAAAAGAAGGGTGGGCTGTTTCCTGGTGGAGCCCCAAATACGTCAGTATACATAAATGATCATGCACGTGAGCGAGTGTCACGCAGGAATGGGCGGGGAGCTGTGAGTACGCAGCTGCATCCGGGCTGGATAGGAGGAACGGCGCCCGCCGGGGATGACTCACTACAGGCGATGCTGCCTGCTGGCCTCAAAGGCACACGCCTGCTCGTGTGAGGGTGTCCAGGCAGAGACCACACTCGTGATACACTTTCACTTGGGGTGCTGTTACCTTCCAGAATTTAAAAAAAGAAAAGAAAAGATGCAAGACAGAGGGAGCTCGTTCTCATTCAGTAGGCATCTCTGAGCACACTGCACTGTGGGGGGAGGGGGGCACAGCTGCGAGAGGACAGGCAGACGGGGAGCTGCCCCTGCCCCCTCCTCCCCCCGTCAGCCTCCCGGGAGGCCTGTGCCACTTCTTTCACTCTGACCACCTCCACGCTCTCCAGTCAGGTCACAGACATGAGTCGTGTCCGTGGGGTCCACTTGCTTCCTGACCTGTTCGGCTGTGGTGTGCGCCAAACGCCAGGATCAGCCGTGAACCCTTAACGGGGTTGCTTTTATTGGCTGTGGCAGGGCTGCCGCGAAAGGCGTTTTAAGGGAAAGGAGAACTATGGAGCCCAAGACAGAGAGCAGAGCCTGAGCTGGCAAAGGAGGCAGCGCTCGTGAGCAGCTGGCCGGAGACAGGCAGAATCAGTCAGTGTCCAGCCGAGATAGGCATAATCGGTCTGTGTCCAGCTGAGACAGGCAGAAATTGGCCTGTGTCCAGCCCTGAAGACAGACAGAAGTCAGTCTGCGTCCAGCTGAGACAGGCAGAATCAGCCTGTGTCCAACTCCAAGTGAACCCGCAATTTCAGATTCAGGGTTCAGAAGCACAGGGGGACCGTCATCTGCACAAGTGAGCAAGCCTGTTTCTGAGAATTCCAGTATAACTGGGAGAAGCTTCTGAAACAACATGCATTGACTTAATAACGAATAGATAATTGGGGGCTGAGAGATAGTACAGCAGGCAGGGCACTGGCCCTGACTGCATCCGACCCAGGATTCATCTCTGGTACCCCACCTGTTCCCTCGAGCCCCGCCAGGAAGGATCCCTGAGCGCAGAGCCAGGATTAAGCCCTGAGCACAGCCGGGTGTGACCCAGAAACCTACAGTAACAATCATGTATTAATAGTGTGTGCCCTATGCAGAGAGCACTGGGGAGACAGAGTTCCAGCATGGGAAAAAAGGATGCGAGACTGTGTAAGGGGTCTGACTGCCAATAGAGTGCTGAGGGGATCGTCCCTTTTGCTCTCAAAACGAGACGCTTACAATCGTGAATGGTGGGAGAAATCATTTTATAATTATCCTTCTAAAATGATCGTTTATAGGGCTAGGAATATTCATTCCTTTTCACCCCAACATTAGAATAAAAAGTTGAGGAATTGTGAAGATTTTCGTACTATTTTGTCCGATTAGACATGGGTTCTTTTCTTTCCTCAGTCAGGCACTAGGGGGCGCCTGCTCCCCACTGCTCTCCTCCTTTCCTTCTCCTCCTCCTCCTCCTCCTCCTCTTCCTCCTCAGCCCAGGTCCAGAGAAGCCTAGAGCACTGGCCTTTTCAGCAGATCTGAGTGTTGGGGTAAAATCCCAAATAACAATGGTGGGTCCGGTGTCAAAATATTGAATGTAATCAAAGTAGAGAGAGAGTAATGTGGAAATCATCTGCCCCACAGGTAGGGGGAGGGTGTGGGATGGGGGTACACTGGGGGTTTTGGTGGTGGAGAATGGGCACTGGTGAAGGTACGGGTGTTTCATTGTATGACCCGAAAGCTTTCTAACTGCTCTCACGGTGATTCAATAAATAAAATTATAAAAATTGGAAAAAGGAAAAGAGAAGCCAGCCACTGAAGAAGGGGACCCCGTTACGGGAGCCAAGAGATAAAAGGGAGAAGTTTCTAGAGAAGAGGGAATGGATTGGTTTTGTTAGAACTGGAAGGAATTTCGAGGTCCAATTGGAAGAGTCGGAATCTGCCGGATAGAGTCAAGACTTGGGAAGGGAAACCCCCGGTGACCTTCAAGAGAGTTCTTGCTATCCACCAGTCCGGGAAAAACTTGATTTAGTGAATGAGAGAGTTGGGGGTCATGACGTAATGAAAGCGAAAGTCCTTGTCTGCCCTGACAAGATAAAGAGAGGGGGCAATAGCTTGATGGGGCATGGAGCGGCTGAGTAGAATAGTTAACAGGGCTATATTTTTAAGGACAGAGAAAATTGTACCTGCAGGGCTGGAGCGATAGCAGGTAGGGCATCCGTCTTGCACGCAACCACCCTGGGTTCGAATCCCAGCATCCCATATGGTCCCCTGAGCACCACCAGGAGTGATTCCTGAGTGCAGAGCCAGGAGTAAGCCCTGAGCAACTCCGGGTGTGACCCAAAAAGAAAAAAAAAATTGTACCTGCTTAGAAGTGGCACTGAAGGAAAGAAAAGGCTGTCAGCCTTTTCTGGTGGGTAGGAAGTGAGATAGCTGCAGCCTGGCCGGTGAGTGGACTCTGCTTGCTAGACTTGGACCCCTGACCTACCCTGACGCAGCCCCTCCTGGCGGGATCCTCCGCTACTCCTGTAACCGGGCTATAAAATGAGGCCGCTGGCACCAGATATTTGTACCTAGAGGAAGTGTTCTGGGATCCCAGATATATAGCGTCTTGAAGCAGGCGGGTATGCTGAATTGAGTGTTGGGCTATGATGACAGCTGGGCCCAGAGTCCTGACAGGGAGGTTAATTGTGGAGTGTTCCTTCACACGGTAAAATTCTAAAGAACCAAAAGCCCCAACCAAAACTTTGTCTACCAGTCGGTGAGTAAGAATTTGATCCCCCGCCGTGCCCCAGTCTGAAGATTACCCTCCGTAAACAGGAGGCGGCACTTGGATAGAGCTGGCGCTCCCGGTTCCTGGCGGGGGTGGGGGGGCAAAGGAGAGCCCCCACTTTCTGACAAGCTTGGTTTCCGTGGAGCCAGGATATCCAGCAGGCCGCCTTTAGTGACCTTCCTTGCTGTTTCATACGCCTTCATCTCCGTGATTTATCCTACAGATCAGTCAGAAGAAGTTGAAAAAATACGAAAAAGAATACCACACGATGCGGGAACAGCAGGCCCAGCAGGAAGACCCCATTGAGCGATTCGAGGTTTGTGTGATTCTCCCAAGCCCTGGGAAGTGCTGGCAGTTGGGTCACGTAATTGCGCATGCGTATAGTTTGATTGAGTGCTTTTATTTATTTATTTTTTGTGAACAACTTTATGAAAATTAAATTTAAAAAGAATTCATTTGTCTCTGGTGAGAAGATACTCAATTACATATTTATAATCATTAACAATAAACACATAATAAACATAGCAGTAAACAGTAACAACACAACTTGATAAGAAGAAATGGTTTACACAAAAAGAATATGCAGTTCCTTGAATGAGTTTATTAATCCTAACCAAATAATTTATACTGAAATACATGTTCATGTTTACCAAATCTTAATGCATATTTGAATAATAATATGAAGCGGTGATTCCCACACCTATAATTATATATAATCCATTGCCTGGTTTCCTTCATAATATATAGTATAATGGACATATTTTATGACTTGAGAATTCTGTTTATTTTTTAGAGTGCTTTATTGAGTGCTTTTAAAAATTCTGTGGCTAGTTTCAAGTTTGCAAATGAAAAAGCTTCAAGGTTTTTTTTTGTTTTTGTTTTTGTTTTGTTTTGTTTTGTTTTTGCTTTAAGCCAAATGCCTGGCTGTTACAGTCCAGTGGCATTTCATCACAGTTAATCAGAAATGGTTGTTGAACAGGGTCGCTTGACTCTGTTAATTATTTCTGAGTGGAGATGTAAAGTAGGAGCTTGTTGATTAGTAATGCAGTCGGACCGGTCCCATCTCCCAGCTTGAACCCCGTCATTTGTTTTGAAGGCAAATTAGACATTAGCCCTGAGAAGACACCATCTCCTCCCGCCGGTTTTCCTGTGTCTGTCATTGGTTTCTTTCTACCCTTTAGAGGGAAAATAGACGACTCCAGGAAGCGAACATGAGGTTGGAACAGGAAAACGACGACTTAGCCCATGAGCTGGTGACCAGCAAGATTGCTCTTCGGAAGGACCTGGATAACGTAAGTCTGACGGGCCTGCCGGCTTTGCAGATTCAGGCTCAGGCCTTTTTTTTTTCCTTTTTTTGCCCTTTTTGGGTCACACCTGGCGATGCTCAGGGTGTGCTCCTGGCTCTGCACTCAGGAATTACTCCTGCCAGTGCTTGGGGGACCATATGGGGTGCTGAGGATCGAACCCAGATCGGCTGCGTACAAGGCAATTGCCCTACCCACTGTGCGGTCCGGCCCCTCAGGCTCAGGCCTTTGCCCGTAACTGAGGGTTGGTTTCCTAGGCTGGCGCCCTCGGTGTCCACCTCAGGATTCCACTCACTCCTGTCGTATGCACCCCTCCTGATAATTCCTTTTCGGGATCATCAGCTCTTTTGCTAAACCCTCCTTATCACAGGGGTTGTGCATGGAATCCCTGGTCTCCTTTCCTGCCGTGGCTTGATTGAAAAATCTCTTGGCTAATTCCTGTGCGATCACAGCTGGCGTAGCATTTAGTCATTAGGACTCCTTAACTTCCCCAAAGATGTGGAGATTGCGTTCCTGTTTCTATGCCTGTTGAATAGGTGGGACTGATTGCCATAAACCCTCAGCACTGTTTGATGTAGTCGTTTCTCTTGGAAGATATTCTTTTTCCTTTTGCTTTTTCTGATCTTAAAAATTTGAAGATGACTGCTTGCCTGACAGAGCGCGTGTTCTTTTTCTTTAAGCTTCCCTGAGAATTATAGTCTCTCATCATTCGTAGTATTTTGGCCAGGGGCTGACTAACTTAGTTTGTAAAAGTAAAGTAAGTAAAGTAAGTAAAGGCCCTCCCGTTGATCGTCGATTTGCTCGAGCGGGCCCAGTAACGTCTCCATTGGAGACTTTGTTGTTACTGTGTCTGGCATATCGAATACTCTCGGTAGCTTGCCGGGCTCTCCGAGAGGGGCGGAGGAATCGAACTCGGGTCGGCCATGTTGGCCGCGTGTAAGGCGAACGCCCTACCCGCTGTGCTATCGCTATGGCTATAAATAATTTTTGGCTTTTGGGGCATGCACATTTAACCTTCGCCTTGGTCCGGCAGGATCTGTTGACGATAGGTAAATGTCTAAGCATGGTTGCAATCCAGTAAACTTTGTTTTGCAGTAGGTAACAAACCAGAGTTAGCCTGTAGGCTGCAGTTCCTCATCCCTTGACACAGATCTCCCCATCTGGTTCCTAAAGATTACTTTTTTTGCCCTTGGATTACCTCAGTTTCTAGAGCTAGAACTCAAGACTGCAGAGGATTTAAAGGGGACTTTCTGTCACATTGAACCCCTTTAGACTGTGAACTTCACAAGACGACATTCTTGGTTTAAAATATTTTTATTGCCTTAACACTGTATCACCACATTATATGTTTCATGCCTGGATTATTATAAGTCAGTGTTTGCATATACAAAAAACAAAAAAGAACGAGTATGTGATTTTAGATTTGGAATATAAATTCCATCAGTAGAAATGTTCCCCCCTCTGCCTACCCATTTGTATTGTGAGCACGTGCTTGAGGACAGTTGCTTGTGTCACTGCTGAGTACCTTCAGGGCCACTTCCCTAACCCCACCTGAGGTCAGTCGCCTCTGCCCTGTCCCTGTGGCCCCTCTCCCCTGTGTGCCCTTTGGAGAGAGGGAAGATCGGATCTTTTCTGCTCAAGGTGAAAAAAAAAAAACGCAGTTGGCAATTTAGAATCCTATACGCAGTTCAGGAGGAAATTAAATAATTTGGCATCAGATCCGACTTCCTAAAACTGGCGTTAATAAAAACCTGAAGGAAGTGACTTTCCTAACTGCGTGGGGACACTGCCGCGTCCGAAAGGGGCTCGGACCACTTTCCTGCTTCATCTTCTCCCGGCTCCTCGCCTGCCTGTATGTGTCAATGTGCTTTTGTGGTTTGTTATCATGGAGGCATAACTGTTGTATGCCAGCCCTGAATTTCACTGTGCACAGCTTTCTCTTAACACCAAACATGCTCCCTAATTATTATTTTCATTGGTAAAGCCCAGCCTTAATGTTTTCACATTTTAACCACAAGAAACCAAGATGTGTCTCTTGAAATCAAACTTTTCCAGAATATATTCAGTTGGATTTTGCTGGAGCTAAAATTTAGGTGGTTTTTGTGGGGACTTTTTTCTGTTTTTGTTTGGTTTTGGACTATTCCTGGATGTGTTCGGGGCTTCCAACTCCTGGCCCTGTGTTCAGGGCTCACTCCTGGCAAGATTCGGGGGCGGTTTATGTGGTGCTGGGGACCAAACCAGTGTCATCTGCGTGCAGGGTGAGCATCCTGCCTCCAGTACTGTCTCCCAGCCCTGAAGCATAAATATTAAAAATAATAATTCAAAGTAGAATTAAGTCGAAGTAACAGGGCAACAGAGATATCATACAGAAACAAGTAGATCTTATGAGTGTCACTGTGCTCTAATAGTTGCTAGAGTTCATAATTCCGAGTGCATCCTTCAGTATTCTCGCCTCACATCTGACCATTTGTTTTGGTTGCCATTGCTGTTGTCCTGAGGGAGGCCGGGGCCGGAGCAACAGTACAGCGGGTCGGGGACCTGCCTCATGTGCAGCTGACCTGGCACTCCATACGGTCTCCCGAGCCCACCAGAACAAAAACCTGGAGGACTCGCTTGGACTCCTGCCCCCATCTGCTGAGTTCCTGCATTTCCTCATTCCGTGGGTGCCGTGGGTGGAACCTGACATCCCTGAGCGCTCGCTCAGTGACCCAGATCCCTGGCGGTGTCCAGGCTTGTCCGGCTGCTGATGGAGGAATTGGGGGGGGTGGCTGAAGTGGGGGGGAGAACATAAGCTCCTCAAGCTTCGTTTGGGGCTGGAGGAGGCAGGGTCTGCAGTCGGGACCCCGTGGGTTTACAGCAGGGGGCCCACATGTTGGCTGCAGAGGGTTTGCTGGGGGCCTGCCGAGGTGGCGGGTCCCAGGTTGGGGGGACCCCCTTCCAGGTCTGAAAAGTGCCGGGGGTAAGAGCTGAAGAATGTGGTGGGTCTGGGATGGGGCGTGGGCCTGAAGCTTGAGCAAGTGAGACTCCAGGCATTTTCACACACATTCCAGAAGCATGTAAAAGTGGGGCGAACAAGTGCGTTTCTTTGAAACTGTGCTTGTATTCATGTTCAGAGTGGTTCACACGCGAGGTAGAAACATCACTGCACACTGTGTCTCGTACTGCTGCTCCTTACCTCGTTTTAGGAACAGAATAATAGTAAAGTTTCGGACAGACACAGATCGCAATACCAGATACTCTGATTTTTTATCAGCTTGATTTGGGTGTCCCATAAAATGAGGGAGGCTAGCCAGGACCCTGGGTGTAGTAGAGAATTGTCTGATGTGGTTTATATGTAAATCAGGTCAGTCACCACCAGAAAAGAAGGGGAACAGTCAGGCCCGAGCATTGCCGGCCTCCTGGCCATCAGCTCCAGCTGGGTGCCCAGAATGCTGTGAGGTCTCGTTTTCCGGTTTTCACAGGAAGGTTATTTCAAGATCCTTAGCCCACGCCAACCCGTCTCCGTGTTTCAGATTCAGCGTTGCCCGCTTGTGGGGTTTGAGCTTCTCGGGGTGCACAGTGCCAGCAGAGACAGGAGTCACTGGCCCATTCTATGGGTGTCTGTGCCAGTAAGGAAGGGGGGTGAACTTCTGAAGTGGGGGACACAGTGTCCACCACAGATGGCCCTCATGGCCAGCACGCAGCATGCAGGAAGCAGGGAGAGCAAAGAGAACAGCCCAGAGAGCATCTGCATGTCCACAGTGAGTCCAAGGCAGGGTCCGCTGGAGCGCAGATGCCCTTGAACTGTCGCCTTCTCCAGTCTGGGAGGCAGCGGCCAGGCCTGAAAGAGGGAGGACAAGGGGGAGGCTTACCCGGGCGCCCGAGCAGGTCCAGGTGCAGCCCCTCAAAACCAAACAGAAGAACCAGGTAGGGTGCAGACATCACATTTGTGAAACCCGCCTGGGAAGGTGTAACCCTTCTCACACGTTCCCTTACCCTGACACAGTGTTCCGCGTGCTCAGTTCCGTTCCCAGTATTCGAAGTGAAAACTCATTTTAAAAGTCTGAATTCCCATGAGCTGATGAGCTCCCTGATGGGCAGAAACAGAGAGAAACTGTTCCCGTGGCTCTGGGGTTCTCTTTCCTTAAGCACCTTGAAACCCGAGACAAGAGAAGATGTGAGCCAACCAGGCAGAGCCCCGAGTCTGCTTCCTGCTTCGGGCCCCTTGATAGGAGACTCTGTCCACGCTGTGTTCGGAATGAATGAAGCAGGAAGCCCCGATGGGCAGCAGAGCCACAGTGAGAACACGAGTGGGGGACACCAGCCGTGCTGACACAGGGCCTCGGCGCTGCCCTGAATCTTTGTCTTTGTTAAATCCTCAGAACAGCCTCCCTTGCATAAATGATAATGGGAGCCCCCTTCTCCCCGGCCCCCAAGGAAACTGAGATGAAATACAGGTGGGCGCAGGGGAAGAACTCCGTGGGCCAGAGGTCATGCAGGCGCCTCGGTTCCAATCCCCAGCACTGTGTGGCTCTCGGAGCACCGGGCCGCCGGGAGTAGCCCCTAAGTGCAGCTGGGTGCAAACCCCCCACCTGCAGATAAGGTAGAATGACTTGGAGGAGTCACTGCGGACCCCGATTGCTCCACAGTCGCAGCCTCGTGTCCCCACACGCCCATGTCAGCCGCCACAGGGAGGAGACAGACTGCCCACGCTCAGCTCCGAGTCACTCTTCTCTTTTCATCCGAGTCATCACGAAACATCGGCAGGATTTTGAAGTGAGGCGTTGTAGGATCCTCTCACCCTTTTCCCCCTTTCACGTCAGAGATGTTTCGTGGAATTTCATAGCTCGCTGCTCCTCGTGTGCCGTTGCTGCTGCTGCTGCTGCTGCTGCTGCTGCCGGGGCCACCCCAAGGATGCCAGGACTGGGCAGTGCCTGGGCGTCCAACCCAGGACCTTACTCGTGAATGCCCCCACCACGTGGGCTGTGTCTGGCCTCCTAAAAGACCACGCACCCCCGACTGTTAGCATTATCATGTTTATCATGATCCTCTTGGAGGATAGTTCGTGAACTGAACATTCAGTGTCATTCCATAGTGAAGCTACGTGGACCTCGAGTTTTCTCTGCAGGGAATGATTGGATTATTAGGCTTATTCCCAGATAGAGAGCATTCAGAATTTCCTAATTGATCACGGGTTCATTTTTATGGCTCCTGACTGACTTTCAGCTAACTTTCCGTCCTCGCGTCGGGTGCAGTGGCAGGAAATTGCTGGCGTTTCCTTACCCTTGGCATGGCTGCAGGGTCAGCTGCAATGTGACCGTCTGTGTCCTCGCGTTGGTCACAGGATCGATCGGCGCCTTCTCCCTGCCTGCCCTCAATGAATCGAGTTACAAGTTTGTCCATGGTAGTACCTTTTCAGAGGTTCTCTGAGGTCCGTTGGTTTTGTGTTTCAGTGATTCCTTTCGATTGTGTACTGCTATCTTCTGTTTTTGTCAGCTCTCGCACTAGCTTCTGGAAGAGGAAGTTAGCTTGATAGGTGATGTGGGACTTTTCCTTTTTCTAAAATAAGCATTGGAAGTTAAAACTCTGCCTGACGCACGACTTCATCTGTCCTCCCACACGGGGTGATGTTTTCCTTTTCCTTCCATTCTGTGATTTCTTCCACTCCTGATTTAGTGAGTGTTTTGTTTCGCTCAGGTGTTTTTCACAGGAACCCTTCTGTCATTAATTTCTGACTCTTGTTTTGACCTAAATACAGGGGCTAGTGAGAAAGTTTATCTGGGAGGGCGCTTGCCTTGCACATGGTTGACCTGGGTTTGATCCTGGCACCCCTCATGGTCCCCCGAGTTCCCTGGTCATTACCTCGTCAGGGGTGATCCCTGAGCACAGAGCTGGGTGTGACCCCGGAACAAAGAAGTTCATGTCTTGACGTTTAATCCTTCACCATATATTATTGAAGGTGTGGCTCAGTGTCTGAGACCCCACTCAGGTGTGCGGAACTCAGGGTTCCGTCCCTGGCAATACCTCTCCCCCCAAATAAAAGGTGCCGCCCCTCCCCTCACCAAAGTGTCATAGGGGAGGGTGGATGCTTGCTTGATGCTGGCACCTGGTCTGTTAGGGGCACCGTCCGGTTTGGCCGACACTTACAGACTCACAGGCTGCCCCCCTCTACCGATAGAACCCTATGTGAATCGGATTCTGCTTCCTTCATCTTGGAAGGAGGTGCCCCCCCCACACACACACCCCTGCCATGCCAGAGGCCGCCAGGGTTGTCCAGCAATGCTGAGGCGGGGCTGGACCCTGGCCCTGCCAGCCTGGCTCCCAGTGCTTTATTCCTGCTTTCAGCTACATCAGTGTCCGCTTCTTGTAACACTTAGGATGTTGCACTTGCTTCTGTTTTCTCTTGGGGCCACACCCAGTGATGCTCAGGGCCTACTCCTGGCTCAGCTCTCAGGAGTCACTCCTGGCAGTGCTCGGACCACCCTATGGGATGCTGGGGATCGAACCTGGGTCAGCTGCTGGTGTTCCAGGAAAGCGCCCTCCCCACTGTGCTATTTCTCCGACCCCTGCTAAAATTTCTTAGTGAAGTGACTCTTGGTTCTGAAATCTCTCTCTTCGTTCCTGGTAATATACTTAATTTTGAAATCTACCGTATTATAGCTATTCCAGTTTTCAGAGTTCATTCTTTTCCGTGTGTGTGTGTGTGTGTGTGTGTGTGTGTGTGTGTGTATTTACGGGCTGGAGCGATAGCACAGCGGTAGGGCGTTTGCCTTGTGCGCGGCCAGCCGGCCGGCCGAGCCAGGTTCGATTCCTCCGCGATTCCAACACCCCTCTCGGAGAGCCCGGCAAGCTACTGAGAGTATCTCGCCCGCATGGACATATATATTGGTCCATGTTAAAATTTGAGCTTATATAGCCAAAATACCAGTGGCCCCCACTTTTGTCACAGCCCTACCTGATCGCGACCCAGGTACAGACTTGGCTGGGGTGCAGCAGGGGCCACACCTCTGTGGCACTGAGATTCCGCAAGGCAGTGCCACGGCAATGTCCCCCTCCCCACACCTGTCACTTTGACCACCAAGCTTCTCCCCAGCCCATCTCGCCTTCTGATTGGATTATTTAGATGTTATTTTAATGAAGTCATTTCTATAATCGGAGGCTTTTTCAGGTGATGAGTGGTGAATGCAGATCTACTTCTGCACTCTTGATTCTGCTTGTGCCCCGTTTGCTCTGCCGTCTCTCCCCCTGCCCTCTCGGAATGACAGATGCACTGGGGCGTCGCTTGTTGGCATGGATTCTCTGCTCTCACGCCTCTAGATCCTGCCTCCTCTGATTCTTCAGTCCAGAATGACCCCCTCGGTAGAATCTCGGGCTGCATTAGGGGGCTCTTTTCCTTCTTTTCTTTCTCCCAGGAAATGCAGTTCTGCATTTGTTTCTTCCTGGGAACAAGTCTCAGGTACTGAGTGTGGTCTTGGTTCCAGGGACATGAGTGTGTCTCTGTTGCTCCTGGATGAGCCAAGGGTGTGTATCGACCCCCGCCAGATGCTCTGCTCCCTCCCCAACCCCCACCTACCGGCACAAGCTGCCAGTTGCCCCCGGAGTGATGACACAAAGGCCCTGTGTCAGGCAGCCCCTTTCAGATGCCAGCTCTGCTGTGTGCACTGTGACAGCTGGCGAGATCACGGTCCCACCCACGTCCTCTCTAAACTGGGGGACCAAGGAAGACCCAGGGGGGCAGATCCAGGCCATCACCCGTCTTCCCAGACTCTGGGAAACCTTCTTGGCGTGAGCCGTGGCGTGACGCAGGAGCGAGCGCGGGAAGCCCATGTGCGTGCCAGGGCTGGTTGCCAAGCTGCCCGTGTGACCGAAGTCCCTGAGCTGCTTTGCTCATCAGACGGAGCCTGTGGCCTCGCCTCCATGGCTCTTCCCCTGCCGGATTCTCTTCGTTTCCCTCTCGGTAGCTGCTTGAGCTAGAGAAGGCAGCGAGAAGCCCCTGTTCATGACGGATGGGCCTCACTCCGAGCCTTGAGACATGCCTGTGCGTGCAGTTTGCAGTGACCAGTGACCTCTGAGTTTGCATAACCTGCCACTCTGCCCTCAGGAGCCTGAGGGAGTGTGGGACAGGGAGGGACAGGGCTCAGCTCCACCACTGGCTCGGTCATGCCCGAATCACTGGGCCTCGAGACAGGGCATTGTGTCTAAGGAGCAGGGGTGGGGCAGGGGCATGGGGGACTGACCCGGAAATTCTCGGCATTGCCTTGACTATCTCCTGCCATGCTTCAGTTGCTCACTCTTCGGCTAACCTGTGACTCACTAGACTGGGAAACTCATAACATGAGCCCCAAGTAAACCCTTTTCACTCGGACCCCCAGATATGAATGCCAAACCTCTAGAGGAACTCAGGGTTCAAGGACAGTCATTTCATCAAGAAAAGGGAGTAGCCTTTTTCCATGATAAAAGTCCAAAATAGACCTTGTTTGAAGGAAGAATAACCAAGACTTTAGAGCAAGAAGATGAGAAGGTACCATTACTAACAACCTAATACCTGCTCGACCCACACCGTCTTCCTCGAAGAAAGAACTTGAGCTCAGAGAGGGTCTCACATACCTACCCAGGTGGCACGTGGCCCCCTGGGGGTGGGAGAGGAGCTTGGCTGGTCCCTGTACTGCCTCCGGGCAAGGACCCGGACCAAGTTTCTGCCCTGGGGCCCGGCATTCCCCCCCTCGGGATCAGCTTCCCAGCACTGTAAAAGGGAATTGTGTTCAGAAGTTCAGCCTAGCTGCAGCCGTTCACTTTTTGTTGTTGTTAATTTTTTAACGAATCACTATGATGTGCAGTGACAGACTTACAAACTTTCGTGATTACGTTTCAGTCATAATATGATCAAGTGCCTATCCCTCCACCAGTGCCCACATTCACTCTTGTTCGGTGTTTCAGGCTGAGGAAAAGGCGGACGCGTTGAACAAGGAGCTGCTCATGACCAAGCAGAAGCTGATCGACGCAGAGGAGGAGAAGCGGCGGCTAGAGGGAGAGTCGGCCCAGGTGAGGCCTGGCCGGAGCGCGGGCTCAGCTGCCGGCTTCCTGCTGGCACTCAAGAATACAGAGACATTTGGCTTCAGATATTGTCCAAAGATTTTTTTTAATTTCATTTTTATTAGCTATGCAAAGGCATAATGGTTCTTAATAATTAAAGCACAGGAGAGGGCAGCGAGCGGGCAAAGCTCCTCTGAGTCGGGGCAGGAAAATTCCTGTATGTCAGAATCTTGAGTTTTAAAAAGAAGAGGGTGGGGTGAGCACTGAGCATTTGGGCCAAGCAAAGCAACCGGGTACCTGCCAGAGTCTGCTCCTGCTCTGCGTCAGCCTGCTGGGGCACCTGCAGCCATAGAAAGACCCTTGGACGCCCATCTCTCCCCACACCCCCGGGCTGGGCCCTGCTGCAGCATTGCCGGAGGAAGGCCGCACCCTTTCTCCCCAAGCCCCAGCAGCCCCAAGCCCGGGTGGCACCGTGCCAGTTACCAGCTCATGCTCAGCGGTGGGCTTGCCGTGGCAGCGCGGGTCAGGATGGGAGGGGGCTCCACAGCTTCGAGGGTTCCACTGTTCTCCCCTGTCCCACTCCTCAAGCAGGGTCCTTGCTAAAGGGGAGAGAATGAGGAAGGGGTCTCCCGGCCCAAGCCACAGCACTGCAGGGAGGGTGCTTGCCTTGCACATGGCCAACCCAGGTCTGATCCCCGGCATTGCATATGGTCCCCCGAATATTACCAGGAGTCATCCCTGAGCACAGAGCCAGGGGTGACCCCTGAGCACCGCTGGATAAGGCCCCAAATTCAAAAAAAAAAAAAAAAAAGAAATGAAGAAGTGGTGTCCAGAGTCTGAGCAGATCCTTTTTTTTTTTTTAATTTTTATTAGTGAGACACCCCTGAGGTACAGTTGTAGACTTACAAATTTTGTGCTTGGATTTCAATTATACAATGACCAAATACCCATCCCTCCACCAAGAGCCCATTCCACCACCACGGATCCCAGTATCCCTCCCATCCCCCCCATCCCCCCCATCCCACCCTGCCTCTGTGGCAGGGCATTCCCTTTTGTTCTCTCTCTCTTATTGGGTGTTGTGGTTTGCAAAAGAGGCAATGGGTGGCAATCACGTTTGGTCTATAGTCTACTTTCAGCATGCTTCTCCCATCCTGGAAGGATCCTCCCAACACCCTTTATTTGGTGCTCCCTTCTCTATCTGAGTGGGCGGACCCTTTTTGGACAGCCCAGCGCTAAGCTGCGCGGCAGAATCCCTTCCTTCCTGTCTCCCCAGGACGCGTCACTCTTGCTCTTTTTGTGTCTACAGTTAAAAGAAATGTGCCGCCGAGAACTTGACAAGGCAGAATCCGAGATTAAGAAAAACAGTTCTATCATCGGCGACTACAAGCAGGTAGGTCTGTGCACCTGGGCCTGCATCGAGGGGACTTGGGTGACCATAGCCGGGGGCGGGGGGTGGGGGGGAGCGTAGGTACACGTAAGGACCATGTCTGCCTGGCTGCGTGTCTCACAGCAGAACTGAACTGGCCCTGCTCCTTCCTTCAGGGGCGCCAAATGTCGAGCATGGCGGGTGTTAATAATGGGGCACTGTTTGTGGCACACGCCTATCCCGGATCCCAGCAGCCCACAAGGAGCAGGACCCTGTGGGAACAGTCTTGAATCTACGGTCACTTCCACTGTGGAATTCATCCCAATCCAAAGGGATGCAGATTGTCATTTCAGATATAAATATATTTTTCTCTTTCAGATTTGTTCTCAGTTGAGTGAAAGATTGGAGAAGCAGCAGACGGCCAATAAAGTAGAGATTGAGAAGATTCGGGTAAGCCTCCCCTGACTGGGCAAACGCCGAGCTTCCCAGGTGGCAGTTTCGTTTTATTTCATGAGCTGGCGAGTACCAGGGAAGGGGCCTGGTTCGCTCTGGCCGGGAACGCGAGAACAAATGAGCGCTGGCTCAGTCCAGAACCCAGACCAGACGGTGCCCGGGAAGTGTGCCCGGGAGGGGGCGAGGCGGCGAGGGGGTGAGGGGTCGCTCCACCCAGCTGAGGACCAGGCGCAGGTACCCAGGGATGTGGAGAGGGAGGGAGAGAGGGAGTGCTAACTCGAGCTGACTTGGTGCAGCCTCCCCTGCAGCACTGAACTTGGCAGAGTTCACAGAGATACTTGCTAAGATATTCCCAGCTTCGCTGCACAGGCTGTGGCAGGGCTGTGTTTGCGAAGAGCAGCCAGCCCCCTGCCAAGCACAGGGACCCCCCCGGCCTCCTGCAGCCTCACTCCTGAAACAGGACTTGTCTGCCGATTCTAAAACGAATAATGCTCATTGGAAAACACTTGGGAAATAAACTTTTGAAGCCATTTTAGCTTTAACAATCATTATTACTTTTCGGCATGGTTTTTTCCTCTGTTCTGTATTTTAACATACGCTTTTTTTTAACTTCTAAAAAAAATTTTGTGATCTCTGAAAATGGCAAATTTTACGTAAGTGTTTTTTGGTGGCATAATTGGCAGACTATTTGCTTAGAAGCAATATAAAATAATAGTGATGCTTCTTACAAAAAGTAGCATCATAGACAAAATATTGTGTGTTCTATGTGTATATGACCGTCTTTGTATATACGTTTCTGCGTCCTAGTCTGCCCAACATTTAACCTTTTCACCGTGGTTTTTTTTTTTTTGCCAGAAAACAACTTTTTAGGGCAGTACGTTTTCTTATTCTAAATATGAGACAATGTATTTAGTTTCTCCCAGCTTTTCAATAGTAGTTTTTCCTCTCCTTTTGTAACTGTTGAAAATCCTTGCACATGAGTCACTGCCGCTTCATTCTTTAATCAAGGTTTCTAAAAGTTTACTGGACCAAGATATGTTTGGTCTTTTTGGGCCAAGACATTTCTGGTCGTTTTTGGACCTAAGAGTATTTTTATTGGGCCAGAGAGACAGTGAGGAGGTAAGACACTTGTCTTGCATGTGGCCATGATAGCCGAGCCTGGGCTCTGCCGTGTCAGCCCCCGAGCACCCCCAGGTGTGGCCCAAACACCCTTGGCTCGCCCCTACCCCACCGCCCAAAGGGAAATCTTTGAATTGCTTTGGGTATGTAAGACCAGGCGGCTTTTTCTAATAGGCTCCCGGCCAGTTTGCAAGAACATTGTGTTTCCCCGAGCCATCGTACAGACAGGAGCGCCCAGCTCCCTGCGTCGAGCTGGCCAGACTCGGCTAAGGGGCCTCTTTATGTCTGAAATTCCATTTCAGCAAAAAGTGGATGACTGCGAGCGCTGCCGGGAATTTTTCAACAAAGAAGGACGCATCAAGGGAGTGAGCGCCGCCAAGGAGGTGGTGGACGAGGACACGGACGAAGAGAAGGAGACGCTCAAGAACCAGCTGAGAGAGATGGAGCTGGAGCTGGCGCAGACCAAGCTGCAGCTGGTGGAAGCCGAGTGCAAGATCCAGGTAACAGCCACGGCCTCACCCCCGCGGGGCCCCGGAAACCCCCAGAATGAGCTTGGTGGTTGGGAACCTTTTCAGGCTCTTCTAAACTTCATGAAAAGAGGCTTGTTGTTTTCATCATGGCATGTTTGATGAGTTTCGTCTGTCCTAACACTTGGGCGGGGCCATGCCCAGCGATGCTCAGCACTCCGGAATCGCTCGAAGCAGTGGTCAGAGTTTGTATTGGGATGCTGGGGTGATCACACCCGGGTCAGCCACTTGCAAGGCGACTGCCGTAGCCATTGTCCTCTCTCTGGCCTGTTAACAGTTGGATTTTCTCAGGAGAATTATACATCAAGCCTAGAACCTTTTGTGTTAAATCCAATTATACATGTTTTTTAAATCACATCTGCCCCAGCAAACCTCTTTGGCCTTAGGTCAAGGTTAGTTGTAACCTCTTTGCTTCATTTTCTGCAGATAGAACAGGGGACTCTACCAGGCGATTTTGTTTAGAGAATTGTTTTTTTTAATGAAATAATGCACCAAGGGTTGGAGCAGTAGTATGGCAGGTAGGGCCTTTGCCTTGCATGCAGCCAACCCACATTCGATCCCCGGCATCCCATATGAACCCGAGACCAGAGCCAGGAGCAAACCATCACTTACCTAGTGACTGTGACATGCCTGACCCTTGTGAGCCTTGATTCCCTGCAGGCACAAGAGTCCTCCCAGGAAAGGCACTCAGTGGGATTTGGAGATAATCAAGCCCAGGACCCAGCCCTACCTACACACACAGAAACACACACGCGCACGCACACAACAGTCATCCGCTCTTTGTGCCAGGCTCTGTTCTAGGTGCTGGGGCAGCAGCAGAGTGTGGCTGGTGTCTGCTATTCGAGAGGGGTGTCCCCAAGGCAGCAGTCTGCTGAGTCAGCACGAACAGGGGTTGCAGCTGCTGAAGAGGGAGGAGGAATAGCAGGGAAGGGCTTGGAGTAGGTTTGGAAGTGAGCACTGAGCCTGGACACAGCAGGGCAGGGCGGGGCGGGGCGGGGCGGGGCATGGCAGGGCCCCAAGCGAAGCTGCTCGCAGACCCCGCAGGGAAACCAAGGCCTTCGGGGTTCTTGATGGAAAGTCATGCCATTTCAGTTGGAGCATCAGTTCTGCCTGGTAGGCAGTGGAATGCGGGAGAGGGAGATTCTCAGTGAGGAACGAACAGCAGGAAACAAGGTTTTAACTAGGGAAGAGTCCAAAGCTTTGACCCTAGCCGGGAAGTCTACAGCGGCCTCTCGTGGCCATTTCACTGACCTCATGGACGGTTGTTTCTCTCGCAGGACTTGGAGCACCACTTAGGCCTGGCCCTAAATGAGGTCCAGGCGGCCAAGAAGACGTGGTTTAACCGAACACTGAGCTCCATAAAGACGGCGACCGGAGTTCAAGGGAAAGAGACTTGCTGAGGCAGCGGCTGCCTCTGGACAACCTCCAGAAAACACGACACCTTTTGTTGCCTTCTTCGGCCAGATGTGTGATTCTGAGACATGTCCCAGGACCAGGATAGAGCTAAATCCGATCCATAGACGCATGTTGGTAGGTCACTGGACCAGAGCTCACGAAGCAGCCAGCCTCTGGGGGAAGGCGCTCCTAACTACTGATACTAACAGGCCTGCTCGCTTGGCTGATGCTCACAAGATACTCCTTGGCGCGGCCGCCCACAGGCCCCCCGGGCTGGGCAGTGGCCCCCACACAGCTCAGAGCTCTGTGGACATGGTCAGAGATTGGGGATCCTTCAAGCTGTTGGGTTTTTTTCTAAACCTTTAACCTTTTTTTTAAATATACATATTATATATATAAATATATATGGGGGTGGGGAGGCTGGGGGATCAGTAACTCGAAATAATTGTTACGTTTCAGTGCCAGCAGAGGGCACCCCAGGTAGACATAGAGATGCACTTTGTTTGACATAGGAGGGACTCATGGTTGTCGCTGAACCACCTCGTTTGGTTAAGCTCTGACGCACAGGTTTTTGGTTTGGCATTATTCACCTGTTTCTGACCAATTCTATGCAACTCTTACAGTTCCTGTTGTTTAGTGGTAGCTGCCAAAAATGAGTACTGGGCTGGGGTGGGTGACTTAACTGTGAGACAGAATTAATCATAACGTGGACAAATCCTATTTTGCTTATGTGTCATAAGTGTGTGTATGTGTGTGTACATATATATATATATAAATATTTTCTCCCGATGCACCCAACTGACAGTGTTTACTCCCTGACCAGGACTGACCCGCACAACTGAATTATGTGGTTATTTGGCACTTATTCTCTCCAGCCTTGCTGGGCGCTGCGCCCTGAAGCGCCTCCTCACTTCAAGGTTCCTAGAGTCTTTGCACAACAGGTTGTACAAGTGAGAAAGACACTGAGCTCTGTGTGTGTGTGCGCGTGCGCGTGTAAGTGTGAATACATGCAGGACGTATGTGTGGCGAGGCCTGTCCTGCTGGCCTGTGGATCACTCCCCGCCACCTGGGCCCTCCCGGAAGGTGGCCGGGTGTGAACCTCGATGTTCCGAAGGTGGCAGGAGAATGGGATGGAGGTTCGGCACCTTTTTAAAAAAATAATTTATACAGTGATATGCTGACAGGCTTTTACAAGAGGCACTGGTTTGTATATAAAGACACTTGGATTTTTGTATCTTTTTCCCCCCAAGTCTGTACTAATGCTCGCTAAGGTACTGGGAGGTAACAAGTAGCAGCCCCTAACCCACCACCCCTCTGCTTTGTGTCTTTTGTTCATTGACCAAGACAGCTGTAAGCCCATCTACAACTAGGTGCGTGGACATTGTGCTAGGTAGTTTCAGTGTGTCGACTTTATGAACCGAAATATAAACCAGTAAAATTGTATCACTATTTCTTTTGTTGGTTTTATTTTAACAGCATATTCATTAAATATTTTGGTACAAACAATATCGCTTTGTAAAAACCAGTTTATCATTGTGTTCCTCTCCCGTTCCGTCTGCCACGAGCAGAGTCAGACGCCCTCCCCCTCCTACCCCCCCAACATGTGTATGACCCCCAAGGCACCACACCATTCCCCACCATCCCTGCAGATAATTCTGGAATAATCCAGGGCCGCTAGCCATGTGGGCTGAGAAGACACGGTTGGTTCTGCCTTGGGGTGCTGAGAGCCCTCCCCCCCCCCTCCCCACCAAGGGCAGTAAGGAGGGAAGGGTGAGAAAAGGCCTTGGAAGATGGGAGAGGGATTCATGCTTGGGGTGGGGCCTCGGTGGGCAGGTTCTTCCGGAATAACCCTGAGAGGCCTCCCAGGAGTGCCCTGTCGTGAGCACTGAGCAGCATGAATGAGAGGAGTCACAGCAGCTCTCAACTCTGAGCTGGCCCCTCAGGTGACACGGGCCCTGGTGGACCCCTCAGAGCCTGACTCCTCGTGTTTCAGCAGGGGGCTTGGCTTGTGTCATGGGCAGAGCACATGCCAGCCATGTTCCAGGCGTTGGGGTTAATTACAGGAGTCATACAGCCCGAGGCCTTGCCAGGAGTGACCCCAAAATTATATAATCTTTTTCATTTGGGTCATATCAGGGGTTACTCCTGGCAGTGCTCAGAGTACCATATGGGATGCCAGGGATTGAACCTGGGTTGGCCACGTGCAAGGCAAATGCCCTCCCCGCTGTACCATCACTCAGGCCCCACAAATAATCTTCCCAAAATAAAGGATCACAGGAGTGCCTCCCCTGCTCAGAGCTGTGCTCATTTGAACCTAAATTTCACACCTCGGATGTGGAGCCGGTGAGGGGGACACCAGAACAAGGACAACGGCTTTCAGGAGGAGACTGGCCATACCGACCGAGGTGCTAGCTCAGAACAGGGCAGAGAAGTCAGGGCCCGTTAACAGTGGCTGCTTTAAAATGGTCCTGTGGGCAGAGATGGGCATCAGCCATCAGCACTTTAACAAGCAGCACAGCACGCCCAGGTCCAGGCCTGCCACGACCTCGGACATACACCACACTGGCGGGGGATTCAGTGCCTCGTCCCGGGACTCAGGGACAGCCCTGCACACGTCTCAGTGCCCGCTGAGCCTTGCCCGTCTGCGTACATATGGAGGTTTTCATCGTGCCGGTGCTGCCAGGATGCAGAAGTCAGAGCAGGCTCCTGCCTGCTCTTGGTCCAGTGACAGGGCAGGGAGGTGGCCGTCACATGCTCCTTGGTCCCTCTGGAGACCACCTCCCTGTGCAAACCAGACCCGCTCTGGGGGCTCCCTAGCAGGAATCTTGCTTGGGAAGGAACAGGCAGAAGAGCTTCTGCTCCGGATGCAAACTGCCAAATGTGGAGGCTCCGGCCCCCGGGCAAGCGCCTGCACCGAAGTCTGCACCAAGCCGGCCACGGTGGGGGGATGAGAGGCCAGGCGGGAGGAGTAGCGGCGGAGTGGGGCCCTGGCCCAGAAGCCCAGATGCAGCCATGCTGCCCCTAACCCCTGCCCCACACACTCTGCAAGCAGAGAGAACAGTCCAGCCCACTGCTGCTGAAGACAGAAGCTTTTATTTGATTCATCCAGATAAGGAAAATGCAACATGTCAGGGCATTACAGAGGGCGGCAGCTGGACAAGAGGCTCCTGGTGGCCGAGTCCCACCGTCAGCACAGAGGAGCCGCCGCGCGGCGCTGCCTTGCAGGAGGCGGTGGCAGGTTCCTCGGGAGGAGGCCAGGCATCTCGAGGTGAGGCACTGGGGACAGTCCGCCCGCGCAGGCTGCCGCTTCCGCCGCGCCGAAGACTCCTAGTTCCGAGTCCCACATGTGGTCATTGCCCAGAGGGAAGGACAGTCCAGTGTCCGTTTAACATAGTACACAACATGGACTTATTGCCAAGGACTCTGCACTGCAAATCTAGACACTATTTACAATCGCGGATTCAGAAAGAAACAGTCAATAATTACAGATATTTACTTGGAACCATATCTGAAAGCTACCTCGGCCACCCACTCGACTAGTGTCGTGTGCGTGGCCGTGCAGCAGAAAGGTTTCTACTCACCGCTACACCCGGCCGCCTCCAGGTCTGGCCAGGTGGCCTCCAGCCTCCTCAGAGCAGGACTGGGGGCCAGAGAGAGGACTGAGGGCCACAGCACCCTTGGCCGGCCTCCGAGCTGTTTCTGGAAGTGCCCTTGACCCGTCTCAGACCAGGGCGGCAGCACACGGCGGGCAGAAAGGCCCGAGTGCAACGCTAAGTGGGGGGAGCGGTCAGCGCTTCTAAGGACTAGAAACGGGCAGCTGGCCAAAGATGGTAGCCGGTGGCTGTCAAGAGGGGAAGATGGACAAAGGCAGAAGGTGGCGACTGCCTCAGACCCTGTGGCAGAAAGGCCTGTGGGCAGCAGATACGGCCGCGGGGCCCTGGCACCCTCTCAGATCCTGGCTGCACCGCTGCTGACAAGCCACTATTTAATCAGCCAGGGACTCAAGCCCCTGGGCACAACACAACCCACCAGACAGCACAGAGGAGAAGGGACACCACGTGGCTCTAGATGGCCGACCCTGCTGTCAGAAACGCCGGAAACAAGTACCGAGGACAAAACCTGGCCCGGAAAGCACGGTGGGACCATGTCCCTCGGCTGAGAGAGCCTCGAGGGGACAAAATGAAGGCCATGGTGCTGAGGGGGGCCCGGCACCTCAACACCCTCCGCCAGCCTGTCCAGCCACGGATGACCTCAGTGCCCCGCCGGTCATAGCACAGAGCCTTGGGGAGGTGGAAGCTGCGGCCAGGGCTCCTGCACGCCCATAGCAGTGGCCAGCAGAGCAGCAGGACTCTCTCGCCAGCAACCCTGAGCACCTTGTCCCTGGCCTGACCTATCACAGGGGGGCACACAGAGGTGGGATGTGTTCGTGCTGCCCGCTTCCAGCCGCCCTAGCCATCTCACTCACACAAGGCCCAGCCAGAGTGGGACCAGCACAGGCCTCAGAGTCCTGCTGTGCTAAGTGGCCTTTAGGAGGCAACAAAAAGCTCCGAGGTGGGGGTGGGGCCGGGGGCTCCTCTCCTCTGGGCACTGTGTTACCGATGCCAGAGCGATCCCCGAATGCAGCTGTGACTTCGGGCCACACCCGTCACTGCAGCCCCCAGGCGCCCCTCGGTCTCCTGCACCTGAACTCTGCTCTGAGCTCACCCTCCAGTGCTCGCCTCCGAGGCGAAACCTAAACTTCCCGCAGGAAGGCCCACAGCCCTGCACACAGAGCTCAGGAAACCTCGATGGGGACACGGAAGGACCCAGCCAGCAGATGGGACCAAGATTCCTGTTAGCATCAGGCCAAAAATCTGGAGACAAGGGCTAGTGGGAACAGCCAGTGTCCCCGCTGCGTGCTCCCTGCTGCGTGCTCCTCACATGTGCTCACCTGCTGTTGCTGGGACCCACCCTCGGCCATAGCCGCTGCTGAGCAACGGGGCCAAGCAGTGGCAGCGGCCGTCCTCCAAGCCTGAACATCCTGTCCGCGGCGCTGGCACCACAATGCGCACCGACAGGCTCTTGTGCTCTGGTGGCGCCTATGGGCGCCCCACCAGGCTGTGCTCACTTGAGGCCTGGGCTCCCCACTCCTCTCTCCCTGCCCGTCCACCAGGACAAACCAGCGGGGCTGGCCGCGTCCCGGCTCCCCTGCACTCGCCAGCTCCTGCCAGGGAAGAGAGAGCCACGTGCCACTGCTTACAAAGCCCAAGCCAGAGCTGCTGCGCAGGCAACCCCGGGCCACCCGCGTCAGGCAGGGAAGCAGAAGGCACCCCAGAGGGCAGGCGGGGGCTCGATGCCCCCACCATGAGAAGGCCAAGGAACCCCACTTCCTCACCTGAGGTGGGCCCCCAGCATCGCCCCTGCCCTGGCGCTGGGCATCTCCAGCCTTTCCTACCGTGCCCAATGACACGAGGCCCGACCACAGACCTATGGCTGCGCTTCCTTCCTTCCCACGCTGCTTTCCCTGCCCCTGGCCGTAGCCATGTCCCTCGGAGCCAGGAGGCCACTGCCAAAGGGTCTCTCCCAAGCAGAGATGGCCCAGACCCCGCGAGCCCCCAAAGCGTCCTGCACCCCACTCTGCACAGCCCGGCTGGCTGAGAGAGAAGACTGATGCTAGCGCTCCTGGGAGAGGGTCTCTGCCCTCTTACTGTCCCTGCGCCCTGCACTGCCCGCTCAGCTCCTCTTGGGCGCGACCACATGTCCATAGTCAAAATCCCTGCGTCAGGCAGCAGCTCCCCTCTCTCCCAGCAGTGGGACCCTGCCAGGTAACGCCCACTTCCTGTAATGGAGCCTCCCAGGCCAAGAACTGAGCACGCTTCCTCTCTGATGGAACGCTTCGATGGCGCCCCACCTCAGAGCACTGAGGGATGGCGCCATGTGACAGGGCTTCTGGTGAGTATACCGAGGCCATCCCAGGGACCCAGAGCAGCCACGACCGAGCATGACAAGGCGGCCTGCCGAAATCACACATCAGGCAGCGCACCCTCCACCCACCAGCCCTGGGCCTCATCTCTCCAGCCACACCCCCTGGGCTTCAGTTTGGGAACAATTACTCCCCAGGAAGCAGAGGCAGAGTCGGTTCCGACCCACAGAGAATGCCCGAGTCCGGAGCAAGGGGAGCAGGCGGTGCTGCAGAGGGAGAGGATGCTGCCCCAGTGGGTGTGGAAACAAGCCAGGTGCCAGTCCCGACCAGCAGCACAAACCAAGCACACCCCTGGGGAGGGGCGGTGGGAGGGCACCAGGCCCAATCTGCCGTCACCCTGTCTGAGCCGCCGTGTCCTCAGCTCTAAGAGCACCTTCCCAGAGCACGCCGCTGTGGCGCACTTTCGACTGCCCCCTGGAGAGAGTGCATCCCCGGCCCCACCTGGAGAAAGCACATCTCCCGGCCGGAATGGGAGGCAGAGTCTGTCTCTACTGAGGGCGCGGCCGGGGCAACAGGCTGGAGCGCCTGTTCCCATGTAGGACACCG